CACACTTGCATCTCTTGCAGTAAATATTTCCTTATATTTTATCATTTTTGGCACCATTTACAGACAATGTGTCCTCAAGTTCCACCTCCCGACTACCAATACTTGTTTTGCCATGTGACCACTACTCAACCCTTATACAAATAACATTTTTCCAAATATATTTTCAGACCTATCTGTATCTCACCTTGTGTACAATTTTTACTTTTTTACCAACAATTGAAGGTTTCCAATTTTCATCTGTGGACTAAAACAGAGAGTGATCATCACTAGATGAGCCTTAACACTATTTGACAGAACCTACTGGCACGAAACAGCTATACAGAGGATCAATTTTTCAAAATATTCATTATCAAATGTATCAAGGATGGGTATAAATTCATCAGCAACATATTCATTGACTTGGACAAAAGATAGTAGCAGAAGCCAAGATAGCATAATTTGAAAAAAATATATCCTTTGTAACCCTAACAATAGCAGTGCCATCATTTTTCAACCCCTTGTTTAATTTGCTAGATGAAAAATACTCTTTGATCAATTACACTTTTCCTGAAACTTTCTGGATGACCTCTTTAGCTAATACAGGTTTACTCCTTAATACACAGGTTCCCCAACAAGCTGTTAGGACCCAAGATCATGAGAATAAAGGAAATGATAAAAGACAAGAGATACCCTTGATTGTTACACAAATTCTCTACGTCGGTACCTTAGGATACCTTTAGAGAACAGTATGGAGAATATATACCCTGATGTTAGAGTGTAAAGGGTTAATAAAAAAAATGCCCTCTCCTTCCATATTAAACTTCAAGTCTCAGTTACTCCACAAGGCCCCACAACCTTCCCCAATACTGAATAAAAAAAAAATTTTTACAGAGTGTTCATTAAACTGAGACAGAAGTTGAAATGAAAATAATGGCTGGCATTGTGACCACCATTCAACAGGGTTGTTGTTGTTGCTCTCCAATAAACCCCCACCTCTTGGAGGCCTGTGGTCTGGAAACTGCTGAAATCAATAACCTTCCCCCATTACTAGGAGACTCATCAGAGGATTTAGGGTACTGCTCTCACCTCAGCTGACAAATTCTCCAATGTCACACCAATTGAGAATGGTGCA